CCCCAAAACCCCAAAACCCCAAAACCCCAAAACCCCAAAACCCCAAAGCTCTTGCAGAAAGTTGATTAAATTTGCATATTTTTGGATAAATCTAGTTTAGTATATAAAATCTCACTTATGAGTTATAATTAAGAATATTTACAAATGAATCAAGAATTATCAATGAAAGTGCAACTTGGAGAGAAGATCAAGATGTTGCCAAAAGCACAATATGAGAGCTTGGATGACCTGAGAAATGCTGCCTTGAAGAGTTACCCTAAGAGACTCCAAGGTAAGGATATTGCATTGAAGTATGCTGATGAAGAAGGCGACTGGCTCTATCTTAGCGAAGACGAAGACTTAAATGCGCTTAGTGAATTCGCAACCCAACTTGATAATAAGAAAGTCAAGATTGTGGTTGAAGTCAAGAAGCCAACACAGATCCTACAAGAGGTTGAGAAGGTTGACCAAGCTATGGATGACCTCACTCTTGAAGAAAGCAAAGAAGTTAAGTTTGAAGATCTTAAGGACTTTAAATTTTCTGATATTACTGAAAAGCTTGAAGAGTTATTTAACTCTGAAGAGAAGTTCGGACAGATGAAGATCTGGAAAGTTATTAAGGAGGCTGCTGAAGGAACTAAAGCTGAGCATCACTTCAAGAGATTTGGAAAAGGATGCAGAGGAATGGGTGGAAAACACAGAAGAGATAAGATGTTCAGAAAATTCTTCTCCTCAAGCGCTTCTAGAGAAAGAGATCACAGCTCCTCAGGTGAAGATGCTGGATTCCCAGGATTTGGCGGTCCTATGGGCCCAATGGGACCATTCGGTGCTCCTCACCACTTTGGACCTCATCATGGCTTCGGTGGTCACTTTGGCCCACACCACGGACATGGCCCATGGCACAATAAGAGAGCTAAAAAGTTCTTCAAAAAATGGATGATGACTTTCAAAAGTGACTCCAGCGATGGATCTTCTGACGAGAGAAGAGAAAGAAAGAGAGCTTGCAAAGAGATGAAGAGACAACAGAAGAATGGAGCTCCAGTAAGGAAGCTCGAATTCAAGCTCCAGAACGAGACTATTGTAGGAAAGGCTGGAGAAAAAGTTAACTTTACTGTTGGAATTAAGGACATTGCTCCTCACCCAATCTGGTTGACTGGCGCTAAGAAGATTGAAGGTGATGCCGTTGGGTTTGAGTACCAACCAATGGAAGAAGCCAAAGTCTTCAGAGAACAAGAACACGAGGTCGAGCTAACTGCTACCCTTCCTGAAGAAGCTGGAGAGTATCCCTTGACCATCGGGTTCTTGAACAAGAAGGACAACTTCATCAAAGGAGATCTGGTCCTAAATTTCAGAGCTGAATAATTAGTCATATAAATCTTAACTAAATCTGTGATATTCAACCAATTTTGGGAAAGCCGGGGTTTTGGGGTTTTGGGGTTTTGGGGTTTTGGGGTTTTGGGGTTTTGGGG